CTCGTTGCCCAAGGTTTTTCTCAAATCCCGGGGATAGATTATGAAGAAACTTATTCCCCAGTAGTTGATGCAACTACGTTGAGATTTTTAATAGGCATGTCTGTCTTTGAAAAGCTTCAAATGCGTTTAATGGATGTAGTGACAGCATATTTATATGGATCTCTCGATACTGACATATATATGAAAGTTCCTGGAGGGCTAAAATTGCCTGAGGTTTATAGTTCAAAACCTCGAGAGATGTTTTCCATAAAATTGGAAAAGTCACTATATGGACTAAAACAATCTGGCAGAATGTGGTATAATCGTCTCAGTGAATATCTGCTCAGAGAAGGATACAAAAATGATCCAATTAGTCCATGTGTTTTCATCCGTAGATCTAAATCAGGCTTTGCCATTATTGCAGTATATGTTGATGATTTAAACATCATTGGAACTTCTGATGAAATAGAAAATACTGCAAAATATCTCATGAAAGAATTTGAGATGAAAGATCTTGGGAGAACAAAATTCTGTCTTGGTCTTCAAATTGACCATTTGAAAGACGGAATACTCATTCACCAGTCAAATTACACGAAGAAGGTTCTGAAGCGGTTTTATATGGATAAAGCACATCCTCTCACATCCCCGATGGTTGTCCGCTCTCTCAATGTACATGATGATCCATTCCGACCTCGTGAAGATGATGAAAAAATACTCGGTCCAGAAATACCATACTTGAGTGCTATTGGAGCTTTGATGTATCTAGCAAACAACACTCGACCAGATATTGCATTCTCAGTGAACTTGTTAGCCACACACAGCTCGACCCCGACTAGGAGGCATTGGAATGGCATTAAACACATTTTGCGATATCTCAATGGTACCATCGACCTTGGTTTATTCTACCGCAAAGGTGCCAAGGCCACTCTTGTTGGATACGCTGATGCAGGATATTTGTCTGATCCACAAAAAGCAAAATCTCAAACAGGTTATGTGTTTACTTATGGAGATACCGCAATATCATGGAGATCGATGAAACAAATTTTGACTGCCACATCATCAAATCACGCAGAGTTAATAGCTCTATACGAAACAGGTAGAGAATGTGTATGGTTGCGATCAATGATCCAACATATCCAGAACGGGTGCGGTATAGAAACAATTACTAGTCATCCGACTCCTATATATGAAGACAATACTGCATGCATTGCTCAAGTGAAAAGAGGTTACATCAAAGGAGACCGAACAAAGCATATATCACCAAAGTTCTTCTCAACACATGTTCTCGAGAAAGATGGAAAGGTTGACATCAAGCAAATCAAGTCCAGTGAAAACCTTGCTGATTTATTTACAAAAGCGTTGCCTCCGAAGAAATTTGAAGAACTCGTACACAAGATTGGCATGCGTCGCCTCCGTCAATTATGCTAAGCTGAGGGGGAGAATTTTATGAACTGTACTCTTTTTCCCTTGATCAGGTTTTTATCCCACTGGGTTTTTCCTAACAAGGTTTTTAACGAGACAGTACATAAAATTAGAATGGGTTACTAAACTATGTCCATTTACGAAGTACCCATCAATAATTGAAAAATGAACATTCAAGGGGGAGTGTTATGAAATTAATGATTGTTCATTTATTCAATTAATCAAGCCTAATTTCTAAAATAGTAGATTAAGACACTCATTGATGAGTATCAATTTAGTACAGTCCTTCCCACTTGTATTTATATTCATACTAAGTCTCTCCACTATAAATAGAGGCTTAATCCCTGCATTGTAATCACAATTAAGAATAAGAAGAAGAGTGAGAAGTTAATAGAGAGAAGAAATCAGAAATATATTATATCTATTCTCATAATATCTGAATAGTTTTTCTCTCATTTTATAACATTAATGTTATTTTCTACGTAGTATTTTTTTTGTAAGTCTTTTTCTTTCAATAAAGGAATCAATTAAAAAGTTTAAAATTAACAAGAGACAAACTGAGTGTAGGACGGCAAGTCTATATATGATACCCCCGATTACCAATAACTCAAAAAAAATTGCATTAAATAGGACTAAAAGCATAAGTAATTTCCTAAAAAAAAGACTTAAATTTTTTTATTTCTTAAATAGTACTCCCTCCGTCTCAAAAAGATTGGAACATTTTGACTAAAGTGGTAAAATAAGGAGGGATATTTTGGTGTTGACTTTCCAAAAATACCTTTGATGTGATGGGTAAAAGTAGGATGTGATGAGTAGATTATTAGGAAAAATGTATGATGTGATAGGTAGGGTATGAAAAAGTAAGCGGTAAAAGTAGTTTTTAATAGAAATGAGACGGAATTTAAGGAACACAATTTTTTTGAAACAGGACAGACTTTTTGGGACGAAGGGAGTACTTAATAATGTCTAGTGAGAGGAATAATATCCATGGTGGACATTAACTTGAATAATGACTAATGAATAATGCCCAATAGTCCTATAGAAAAATAAAAGCATAGGGTCTCATATTGATAAAGTCATTATATATACTTTAGTTTTATTTAGGTAAATTTCTCATAAATCAATACTATATCAGTACGTACCCGCACTAATTACTTATACTCTTTCTATCCCTTTATAATACTAAAATATATGTCATTTCTCAATTTACTTAAACTTATTTATTCTCTAAATACTACTTGAATAATGTCTAGTTACGGAAGCAATGACGACTAATAATGGTGGACATTTAGTTTGAACAATTTCCAATAGACAATGACCAATGGTACTACATTTGGAAATAAAAACATATAATACTACATTGGGAAATTAAAGTCACTATGTTTTAGTACTATTTAAGTAGATTTAACTAATACATTTTACACTTCTCTTTTTAAACTTTAAGAAAATTCTACACTTATTTTATTCCCTATTTTAGTAATAAATAGAGTGAATTCTAAAAATAATTTTTTTAATAAGATATTTTCTAAAATTAGTTTTCAATAAGTAATAACTACCAACGTGGTCCTTTGTAATTAATATGTACTACCTCCGCCCCAGTGTATTTGTCCAATTTGACTTTTTCGAGTCAAACTGGACAAACTTTGAACTCCAATTACTTTCAATTTATATTGCATATTAGCATAATAGAATACAATTTTGAAAGTTCTCAATACGATAAATCTAATAAAGTCATTTTTATGTTAAAAAACATTACGATTTTATTTAATTGAAGTTCAAAGTTTGTCCAGTTTGACTTGAAAAAGTCAAACTGGAAAAATACACTGGGATGGAGGGAGTACTCTCTAAATAGTTCTCTGTCTAAAATGTTTATTACATTTAGTTTAATAGAAGGTATTTTGGTATTTTCTGTCATATAGACTTAAAGTATATTCTCAAAATACTACTTTACAATTAAGTGTTTTTTCAATCTAAATAAATATTTTCGTGAAATGGATTCAATGAGCCGAGTCAAGGCGGGATCGGTTCTCTAGCATCCACCCATTTATTTTGAAAGGGCCATTTTAAGGACTTATTTATAGTTTAGATGATGGAATATACAAAAGCTAAGTATCTTGTATTTAACTGTCATTTAATAGACATTTTTGATAAAATACTATTTATGTAATATATCTCAATTACAAAGGATCACGTTGGTAATTATTGCTTATTGAGAACTACTCCCTCCGTCCCTGAAAATATTTCTCCTTTCTTTTTTCATCCATCCCAAAAAACACTTCTCATTTCTATTAAAAAGTCACTTTTGCTCCTTACTTTATCATATCTTTTTACTAATAATCTATCCATCAAATCATACTTTTACCCATCACATCAAAGGACATTTTTGGAAATTCAATACCAAAATACACTCTCCTTAAATCCATCTTCAAAATCAAAACTCCCATGTTTTCCGGGACGGAGGGAGTAATTTGTATTGGAAAAACAAGTTATTAAAAAAACTGTTTTGGGAATTTATTATAAATTAATACTCTCCCTGTCCATGAAAATATGGGAGGTTTTGATTTTTAAAGGATTTAAGGGGGGCGGGGTGTATTTTGGCGTTGATGAGTTTCTAAAAATGTCCCCAGATGTGATGTGTAAAGTAAAATTTGATGGATAAATTAAAGGGGGTGTATTCAATCTGAATTTTATAATATTTTTCTAGATTCTAAGAGTTTATAGGTATTCAATTCAGATTTTTAATAGTCACTTATAATCTGGGTGTATCTAGTACAGATTTTTAAAAATCATTAAAAACTTAAGTGTATTGAATTCGGAGTTTAAGATATCCTTCAAAATGTGAGGGTATTCAAAATTGGTAGATTTTAAAACTTTTTTAAAAAATTATGGATTTTGGTGGATTTGTCAACCCAAAGTAGGTATACGAATCTATTTACAAATCCTTGACAAAAGCTGAAGATTTTACAGGAATCTCTAGTCGCCTTCATCTTCAGTTTCCTTTTTCATTCTTGCTTCGAGTTAGAGTTTTCAAGAAACATATTTCCGCAGCCTCTCTTCATTCCTCAAACCAATCGCCAACATAGCTAGTCTGCACCTTTGCCCTGAGTCTACCATTTACATTCTTCGCCTTCTTCATTTTTTTATGTGGAAGTTATTATATTATACAGAGTACTCATCTTCTGCGTGTTGCTTACAATAATTGAATTAATTTGTGAGTGGAAGTTAGTTATTGTGTGAAGATTGAAGATTTGTATCATTTCCGTGGAGTTCATCTTTTTCTAGCTCTAGGATTTCAAGAAGAGAGAATCTTGAACTCCATGGAGTTTAATCTTGACCTTTCTACAACAATCCAAGGATTTTTAGAAATCTAAATAAATCTTGATAATAGAATACATTAAAATCTATCTAACTCTATATAGAATTTAAAAAATCAATGAATTTATAAAAATCTATAGATTATAAAAAATCTAACATAACCTTTTAAAATTTTTCTTGAATACACCCTCCTAATATTGAATAGATGTGGTAGCTAGGTTAAGAAGTAATGAGAGTAAAAGTGATTTTTTTGGAATGAATGAAAAAAGAAAGAATAAATGTTTTCACAGAGGGAGTATATAGTTACCAACAAATCTTTCCCCTATTAATAAATTTCAATCATTTATTTTTTATTTTTAAACATTTTTAAATTTTGTGAATTCAAAGGAGAATGTGTTAATTTTATTTTTCTCGATCATTGAATTATTTACTTTTTTTCAAATTTATTAGACCTAGTATTATTAGAGTCATACAAAAATCATTGCTTCCACTAGGAGCTCTCTTTGGCCTCAATCATGGTTAATTCTGTTTTTGCATTGCAAGTTGCATGCATAATGGGCAATCTTTAAATTGACGGCCAAGAAGTTTTGATAAAGTCATAAGGTGCACCAAGTGTCCAAGTCACTAACTTCCGGCTAGCTAGTACGGAGTATTTTATAAACTGGTAATCCTGGTATTTTACCCTTCTGGCTAGCTAGTATTTTCACCGTGCAAAAGTTCTGTTACAAAGAGTAACAAATCTATTACAAAGAGTAACAAACTCCGTGACAAACATTGTCACTTCGGTATTCGTGACAAATGCACTTTTTTTTTGTGTTGCGTTCCAGCCCGTGCATGCCCGCCCGTATTTGTGGGTCATAGTTTTTATTAATCTTATAGTTTTGACTTTCGACGGAGGTTGTAGCATTTTTTCATGTTAGTTGCCTTATTACTTTTGGCTTTTCTAAGATATTATAAATAAATATTTCATTTTTTCATTCCATTGCTAGTCAAAGCTAAGTGGATTATTGCCTTCCCTTATGTATTTTATATTTTTAATTATATCTAACTTTGAACAATGACAAAGCATGACAACGTGAATCCGTTCTATTTTGTCCCGATGTCGAATGTTAAGAGACAAAGAGGAATAAGCTTAAGCCCAAATTATTCCAAACCGTTTGATAAAACAGACAAGACGCAAGATGGTATAAATAAAACTGAATAGTCTCGGCCATGCCCACCCCTAGTAAAGAGATGCTGATACGGGTGACATGGACGTACCCCGCATGCATGACGACCAAGGTGATACCGTTGTTCCGCATGTGCGTCCAAAGAGGACCGTTCGACCCCCAAGACGTTATCAAGATTATATTTAATTTATTTCGTAATTCATTTATTTTTGTACTCTAGGGTTTTTTTAGGTGAGCGAATTATAATCTCCTTCGAGGGTTTCTTTTCGGTTCTTTACCTCGTCGCTTTTCTTTGAACCGACAGGATAGATAATCTAGTTCAAGTAGGATTGGGAAAGTTGTTGTTATTTATGGGAGTCTTGATCTCTCTTTTCCTTGTGAAATAACAAATCCTTTCTCCTAAAACCTCTTTCTCTCTCTAAACTCTCCCCTCTCTCACGTTATCTCTCTCTTCCCAAACCCTAGCCGCGCACACCTCGTGCTCTGGCCGGTCGTTGAAGCTACTTCGGCGTATCAAATTGGTGCTCTCATCTTCGTTCTCATGGCTTCATCCGACACCCCTTCATCGGCGTTGACTCTCGAAGATAATATGCATGCTATCACCGACATCCGAAAAGATTTGCACGCCATTAAGGCGCGGGTCACCGAGCTTTCTGCCGCCAAACCCGACGAGCCAGCAGGGCCCCACCGTCAGCCGTTCACAGGTTGGCGACCACCACCCTCTCGCACAACGGCCAGCAGCGCCGATCCGGTGCCCCGTATGCGCATTGACGCTCCCCGTTTCAACGGCGACGACCCCACGGGCTGGATCTTCCGTATCCAGAAATATTTTGATTATTTTCTCACGCCCGAGCCTGAGCGGCTCCAGCTGGTCGCCATGTTGATTGACCACTCGGCATCTGATTGGTTTCACTACTATCAGTCCAACACACACGGCGCATCTTGGGCAGATTTTTTGGTCGCCGTCCAATAACGATTCGATCCAAATTATTACGAGAATTATGTTGGCTTGTTGTCCAAGTTAACTCAGCTCGTCTGTTTTGGAATACCAGACGGCTTTTGAATCCTTGCTTGATAAGGTTTCGGGGGTTCCTGAGGCGACACTGATCTCCATGTTTGTGGCCGACTTGAAACAACCGGTTCAGCGGGAGCTTAATCTTGGCAACCCGACCACTCTCCAGTCCGCCTTTGCTTTGGCACGTGAGCTATCAGCATGTCATCAAGAGGCCGCGGTGACTTTTGGGACCTCACCATGCCACCCCTGGCCGAATCGGCCACCACCGTCTTCTGCCGGCATATTACCCACTCCACCACCCCATACTCGTACAGCGCCAGAGCGGACCAAACCGCCGGACCGCCCTTTTCCCGGCAACCTTCCAGTCGTGACCGTCTCTCTGGCAAAAAAAGCGGAACGTAGCAAGAAAGGCCTTTGTTGGTGGTGCGAAGAGAAGTGGGACCGCATCCATAATTGTCGTCGGTGTTTCTTGGCACTCATGGGCCCTGACAATGAGGAGGAGATGTCCCCGACTAGTGAGCCTACACCAGACCTGCCAGATCCCACAGCCGTCATCACGGGAGATGTCTCGAGCATTCATTCCATGTCGGGTAGCCCGAACCCCCGCTCTCTTAAATTGGCGGGCTCGGTTAATGGTAAAGCCGTCCAAGTCGTCCTCGACAGTGGCAGCACGCACAATTTCATCCATCCTGGAGTCGTAGAGCGCCTGTCCCTGGTGCTTCACCCCGTTTCACCCTTTCGTGTCTATGTGGGTAACGGTGACTCGCTCCGGTGCTCTTATAATTGTCCCCGCACCCCGTTGTCCCTCGAAGGCCACCTATTTGAGATTGATTTGTTTATGCTTGAGGTTCACGGCCCGGATATTGTGCTTGGGGTACAATGGTTGCAAACGTTGGATGGGTAAGGTTTTGCATGATTATGCCTTACTCACCATGGAATTTCTTTGGAACGGCGAAACCATCACGCTACGGGGCGACATGCCGGAACCACGCCCGGTCTCTTTCAATCGACTGAGTGCCATGCTTTTGTCTCCCACCCCAGTGGACTTATATGAGATGGTACCCTCCCTGGCTGTGCAGCCACCGACAGCCCCCGAGCCGCCCGATTTTTCAAAGGATCTACCCGATGCCATCACTGCTGTGCTCCAGGCCCATGCGGCTGTCTTTGGGACACCCACGGGGCTGCCACCACCTCGGTTTTGGGATCACCGTATCCACCTCACGCCGGGTACCCGCCCAATCAACGTACGCCCTTACCGTTATCCTTTCTTTAAGAAAACAGAGATTGAAAGACAAGTCCGGGAAATGTTGCACCAAGGGATAATACGTCCAAGCTTGAGCCCCTTCTCCTCCCCGGTGCTTCTCGTCCGCAAGAGGGATGGTACCTTCCGGTTTTGTGTTGATTACCGGGCCCTAAACACAGCTACGGTCCCGGACCACTTCCCCATTCCGACCTCCGATGAACTATTTGATGAGCTTGGGTCGGCGCGGGTCTTTACTAATTTGGATCTCCGTTCGGGTTACCATCAAATTCGCATGCATGGGGATGATGTGTTCAAAACAGCCTTCCGAACGCATGAGGGCCACTATGAGTTCTTGGTCATGCCGTTCGGCCTCACAAATGCCCCCTCTACGTTCCAGGCCGCTATGAACAGCCTCTTCCGCCCTCACTTGCGGCAATTTGTGATCGTCTTCTTCGACGATATCTTGGTCTACAGTCCCACCACCGAAGCACACGCCCACCACCTAGCAACGGTCCTGGAGACACTTCACCGCCATTCCTTTTACATTAAACTCCAAAAATGCTCCTTCTGCAAATCTTAAATCAGCTATTTGGGGCATATCATTGAAGCAGGAGTGCTCAAACCGGACCCAGAAAAGATTGCCGCGATGGTCGCATGGCCGAAGCCCACATCCGTCACCCAGCTGCGGGCCTTTCTCGGGTTAACTGGCTATTACCGGCGCTTCATCTCCGGATATGCGGTTCTGGCCTCGCCTTTAACCGACCTCCTCAAGAAGAATAACTTCTTGTGGGATGCGAACGCCGACACAAGCTTTGCGGCCTTGAAAACAGCAATGACCACGACTCTTGTATTGCGCCTCCCCGACTTCAACCAAGTCTTCTACCTGGAGACCGACGCGTCTAACTCCGGTGTCAGCGCGGTTCTACTACAACACGGACACCCACTGGCTTTCTTTAGTAAAAAGTTGGGGCCTCGCCGCCGTCTCGCATCCACCTACCATAAGGAACTATATGCTATTGTTGAGGCGGTGCAAAAATGGCGTCATTATTTGCTCGGCCGCGAATTCGTGATTCGGAGTGATCAACGCAGCCTCAAGGAAATTCTCCATCAGGTAGTCCAAACACCAGATCAACAATTTTATATCCGCAAACTCATGGGGTACAAGTTTCGCATTGAGTATAAAACCGGGGCTGCCAACCGCACCGCCGATGCCCTCTCCTGCCGGGACGAAGACGCCGAACTAACCACTCTGTTCACCACTTACTCCCGCCCGCTCACAAATCTACTGGACGCCCTAGCCATCAGAAATTCACAGGATTCCGACCTCCAGCAGTTGCATGCCGCGGTCACAGCCGGGTCGGCGAAGGCAGACTTCTCCATGCACAATGGGCTACTCTATTATCACCACCGCCTTGTCCTTAGTTCGGTATCCCCCTTGCGCCATCAGTTGCTAGCCGAATACCACAGCTCCCCAATGGCTGGACACCAAGGAGTGGAGCGGACGTTCCACCGACTCGCCACCACCTTCTATTGGCCCGGCATGCGCAAGGATGTCCGACAATTTGTGGCCGCTTGTTTAGACTGCCAAACAACAAAGTATTCCACGCGGAAGCCCGCGGGCTTGCTACAACCCCTGCCCACGCCCGATCAGGTCTGGGAATCAGCTTCAATGGATTTCATCACCGGTCTGCCACCCTCCCGTGGGGCTTCTACTATTCTTGTCGTGGTGGACCGCCTGACGAAGTACTCCCATTTTGGTTCCTTACCGGCAGATTTTGACGCCCCACGCGTCGCCTAGCTTTTCCTCGACATCGTCGTCAAACACCATTGCTTTCCTCGCGATATTGTATCCGACCGGGACTCGATATTTATGAGCCTTTTCTGGAAAGAGCTCATGCGTCTCAGCGGCACGACATTGAAGTTTAGCACTGCCTATCATCCCCAAACCGATGGCCAGACAAAGGTCGTCAACCGCAGCTTGGAACAATACCTGCGTGCCTTTGTGCACGAACGCCCGGCGCGGTGGTCCACGTTTCTCCCCTAGGCTGAACTCGCCCTTAATTGCAGCCATAATGAAAGCATCGGAATGTCCCCATATCAGGCATTATATGGACGCCTGCCCCCGTCCATTTTCCCAACCATGTCCGTCCGTTCGCGTGTGGCGTCGGTCGAGGAACTCCTTCGTGAGCGTGCCGACCTCCTCACTGATTTGAAGACACATTTGGCAAAAATGTGCCAGCGCATGGTCTCCCAGGCGAATGCTCACCGTCGCGATATCTCATTCAACGTCGGCGATCTGGTCCTCTTGAAACTCCGGCCTTACTGACAACACTCCGTCGCCAGGCCCCTATCCTCAAAGCTCTCACGCCGCTACTATGGGCCCTTTACCGTGCTGGAGAGAATTGGCCCCGTGGCTTACCAGTTGCAGCTTCCGCCCGACAGTCGCCTCCACAATGTCTTTCACGTTTCGTTGTTGCGACCGTTCGTTCAAAGTAGCACCACCTTACCCTCGGTTGCACTTCCCGCGGACTTCTTTAAGGGTCGCCCAGTGTCAGTGCCGCTCCGCGTCGTTGCCGCCCGCACAGTTCTGGTGAATGGCCAACCCCAAGAACAGTGGTTGATTTGTTGGTCCGATGGTGGTCCAGAAGATAGCACATATATGGGAACCAGTTGAGGACCTTCGCCGCCACTACCCCGATCTCGGCCTTGAGGACAAGGCCGTTGCCAACCCCGGGGAAGTTGATACGGGTGACGTGGACGTACCCCGCATGCATGACGACCCAGGTGATACCGTTGTTCCGCATGTGCGTCCAAAGAGGACAATTTTACATAAATACTCCAAATTTAACAATTGACTAAATGGGTGGCATTGTGTTGAGAGATTACTCATTTTGGCGCTGTCACTCCAAGGTGCCAGCTCCGTTAAATCGGTGACATTCTAAACACTGATTATGTAATTATTAGGTATGATTTGACAACTAATAAAAATAATGAACATTGAATTCCCAAGCCCTAGCTAGTGAGGTCTTTTATACACTCAATAAATTTTTTATCATCGAATGATAACCACAATGCCTCACATTGAGTCACATACAACGTCGAAATATTTATGTATAAAATTGCTAATTGTCTTCAAGTTCACAAAATGTAAATGGTATAGATTTTCATTAAGTGTGAAACTTTAAAATGACTTGAATTTTCTATGGTCTATACCTCTTACACTTCAAATATAATGATCTAAATTTTTACAAACTTATGATTCGTATATCCCGCATTAATTAATTCAAAAAAAATTAAGAAAAAAAAAGAGCAATCATGTGATTCTTCTCCCCATATTAATTCAAAACAATATGAGTTACCGGTCTTATGATTCTATGATGAAGAAATAATGACTCTTTTTCCCGCATTATTTCATATTAGCAAAAAATTGATACATTTTCCCCGCATTATTATGATTATGATCTCCTCCTTTGTATCGATTAAAAAAATGCTTCCTCTTTCCTGCATAATTCAAAAAATGAAATCTTGGATTAGTGACTCTATAATTCAAAAAAATTAAATTAAAAATATTAAAAATTCTATAATTCCTCTCCAATGCATTAATTCAAATAAAAGTTTTATAAAAAAAATATTAGTAATCCCCACATAAGTTTACAAAAATATTAATGAAAAAGACATTAGCAATCGTATGATTCTTCTCCCCCGGCCCACATTAATTCAAAACAACTTGGGTCACCGATATTATAATCCATGATGAAAAGAACATGACTCTTCTTTCCAAATTAATATAGATTAGAAAAAAATTGATTCATCTGCCCCGCATTATTTTGACTCTGATTTCTTCGTTGTATGAATTTAAAAAATGCTTCCTCTTTCTCAGACAATTCAAAAAATTAAATCTTGGATATATAGGTGACTTTATGATTCAAAATAGCTAAAAAAAATATAAAAAAATCAATGATTTTTCTCCAATGCATTAATTCAAACAAAAATATTTAGTAATACTATGGTTCTGAATGGTAATTTATAAATTTATTTGGCAAAATTCTATTCATTTTTTCCTTTACATTTGAATATGAGTTCAAGCCCGTAAAAACATCGTTTTTTATTTGATTTACATAGTTGATCATTTAAAACAAATGTTTATGCATATTTTGTTTTATAGAATATTAGTCTATAGATTAATATATATTGGAGTATTTTTAGTCTTGCATCAATGGTTAAATAACTATAATAAAAACTAACTTCATTTAAAAACATATCATATATAAATATTAATTTATTTGGACATGAAGATAGTATTTCTTTAAGGAAAGAAATCTTATTTATTTATTGAAACTTTTATTATAAATGAAATGCAAAAAATATAAAATTAAATGACATTGAAATCATAAAGAATGTTAGTGTAAACAGAGTTTGTTATGATGACATGATTTATTTTGATTAATTATATTCTATAACTTAATTGAAGTATCATATCCTAATAGATAATTAAAAATAAAAACTTTTTAAACTTAAATCATAAATTGTCTAAAATGTATAAACTAAAAAAATTCTAGTTATTAAATGAAATCATAAAATTAATATATTCAAATTATTGAATTATGTATAGTATTTTTTTCTACTTTAAGATTATTATAACTCAATCATCTCTTGTTTTTTTCAATTTAGTTTTAAGAACATAATGTTTGTTTTAAATTTTATATCAATATTGAGATAAATAGATTTAAAACTAAATTTATTTACTATATACTAAAAAAAACTTGTATGAAATTTAATTAGAGATGAAGAGAGTAACATATTTACTAATTGAAAGTTTTGTTATACATATAGAAAGAAAAAGTATTGAATTGGGAAAGAATCCTTTATCCTTTATTATATATAAATTTAAGACTTCAAACACTATGGAGCTGACATGTGGCTTTGCTAGGAGCTAACATGTGGCATTACTAAGAGCTGACATGTGTCATCACATATGTGGCTTTTTTATGCAAAAATATTGGGTTTATGCAACCCAATTTATGAATTGAATAAAAAGAAAAGAAAATTATTTTTATGTTTCCTTTTTTAACACCTAATATGTCACATATTTTTTATATGGAAAATATAAAATTTAAAGTTTGGCAAGAAGTGTTTGAGCAAATATAAATATGAGAAAAAAATATTTCTTTTTATAATAATAGTCTTTCTAAATTCTATATTTTTTCTCTTCATTTATAACAAATTTTTAGAATCCTATCCTATATCCTATCCTATATATCCTATCCTATCCTATCCTATCCTATATCCTATCCTATATACATATGTAAAGTTAAGTTTATGTGTTGTGGTATTGACATGTGTCATGCCACATGTGCATCCACATGTGCACCTATTAATGAGGTGGATTACATTCAATTGGTCCATTTAGCTTTTTAAATACATTTTATTGCATTTGATTAAAGGAATATTATATTTTAGTTTTAAAAAACCATTACTTTAATTATTTTGTGTATAAAACCTTTTGTTTTTGAATTAACATACCAATATATATTCCACCAAATTAAAACATATTTTGTTTACTTATATTATATCTAAAAAAATATTTTTTAAACTTTGTCGATATTTTGAAAAGTAAATTTATATGATTTTATAAAAATAATTTATCATTTCTCTTTTAGTACTTTTAAAAAAAATAATTAAAGAATTTTTAGTGTATGTACATAAATATTTAAACTATAGTTTCTATTTAAAAAAAGATACAGAGTATATATTAGAGTTAATAAACATACATCTAACACATATAATCTCACTATTAGAAATGTAAAATAAATAAAATTATATTTGGAGAGTGTCAAAATTTAGAATGTATACGAGCCCGTGCGAAGTACGGGGTTAACACTAGTAATATAGAAAATGCTCTCTTCACCTATAAATTTTATGTCTTCCCAATTAATTTTTTTATTCTCTTCTTCTATAATAAAAATTTCAACCAATAAATAAGATAGTTTTTAACCTCTAAATCAATTTGATACAAGTATTTGTTTATGATATGTTAAACTGAAGTTAGTTTTGATTTGATTAATTGAAACATTGATGTAAAATTTAAAACACATAATATATTTTAAAAATTATATCAAAAGATATACAGAATATAAGAGATGACTAAACTATAATTATATTACAAGAGAAAAAATACTATGCGTAATTTCATAGTTTGAATATATTGATTTTATGTCTTATAGTGCTTAAACTGTTTATGATTTAAATTGAAAAATATAATATTTTTAGTTCTTTATTATGATATTATATTTTTAATTAAATTAGAGTTTACAATTGTTGATAAAAATGTGTTACCAAGACATAATATGTTTACACTAACATTCTTTATGATTTCAAAATTATTTAGTAAATTTAATTATAAAAAAGAGATCAACGCTTTCATTAGAATACATTTTTTCAAATTTACCCTTAAATGAAGTTAGTTTTGATTTTAGTTTTTTTATATAAGATAATATATAAAAAATATATATTTTGATCTCTTCATTAAAATACTACAAACAAATAGACTTTTTTTTAAAAAAAATGATCAAATATGTAAATAAAATAAATTTAGAGTAAATTCTATACTTGATCCTTTATAATAGGGGGGTTTCCATATTTAGTCCTCTATTATCAAATATTACCCCCGTAGTCTTTTTTTTTAAGGGTACCTTTCCACAAATGATCCTTTTTTTGATCTTCTATCGTGTTGGTGTTAAATTAAATGCTAAAAGTATAATTTCACATCAACATTATGTTTAGTGACGTGTTCTGATATTGGTTAAGCGGATAACACAAAAATAATGACTATGGTTGTGGGCTAGGGTTCTGACGAAAGATCACATTCGTAGACTATGGTTGTAGTAAAAAGCGACTATAATTCACAAACGTTGCAAACGAAACAGCCTTTGAAATTGTGTATGACAAAAAAGATATATTATCATTGTGAAATTACACTTTTAGCCCTCAAATTAACACCAACATGATAGAAGATCAAAAAAGGACTATTTGTGGAAAGATACCCATAAAAGAAGGACCACTTGGATAATATTTGATAATAGAGGACTAATTAGGGAAACCCCCCTGTTATAAAGGACCTATTATAGAATTTACTCGTAAATTTAAGAAATGAGTAATTTTGTATTCAAATAAAAACAAAAAACACAAAAAACTATCAAATATTTTTGTAAGTTTTTATTCAAAATCATAAGATCACTAATATTGTGAACTTATGCTTTGCGGATGATTTAATCATAGTCTGTACAGCTGATGAAAGGTCAATTGGATGTGTTATGAAGGCTATTACACATCTAGAGAAAACAAGAGGCTTGTCAATTAATTTGAATAAGTCACAGATTGTATTGGCTGGAGTGAAGCAAATGGATAAGCTCAGACTATTGGGACTTGCAAATATTCCTGAAGGAAAGTTGCCATTCACATATTTTGGATGTCCAATCTCATTTTGTAGACTATCATCCACTAACTCTAATGTGCTTGTGGAAAAATTAGCTGCTAGAATCACAAGTTGGAAGTCCAAAAACTTGTCTTATGCTGGAAGGGCAAGGTTAATTTCCTCAGCTTTGAAGAAGGTCCAAGCTTTGTGTAGGAATTACTTGTGGGGGGCTGAGGAAAAGTATAAGAAGGTTCCACTCATAAGTTGGGAGGAGACCTGCAAACCTAAAGATAAAGGAGGGGCTTGGTTTTAGGAACCTGACAATGTGGAATAAGGCACTGATTATGAAACTGAACTGGGATCAAGAAAAGAAGAAAGAAAACTTGTGGGTAAGGTGGATACATTCTAAGTACATTAAGGATGGAGATTACTTGAGTTACTATCCTAAACATGATGCTTGTTATTACTGGAGGAAAATGGTTAAGGTGATACAAGAGTTTGCAAGTATGCCAGTTAGGGGAGAGTATAAAACTGAAGAACACGGGTACTCATGGCTTATGGGTCAGCTTCCAAAAGATGAGTGGTCTGACATTGTATGGAACAGAGGGACAATGCCAAAACATAGAATGTTTGTATGGATGCTAATGAAGGGAAGGCTCCACACTAAGCAGCAGCTGTGCAGATTCCTACCAATTGACAATGGGTGTGTACTGTGTGATAATGGAATAGAAGACATTGCACATCTATTCTGGGAACGTGATGCAAAACACCTATATGAGAGAGTCATGCCAAGCTTGGGCTGTGGGCTAGGAGGGGACTCACCACAACAGTTCTGTGTGCGGCACCTAAGGAAGGGAAGCAGAAAACAGAGGCTGATATGTAGAGCAGTTTGGGCAGCCATTTGTTATACAATTTGTATGGCTAGGAACAAGAATATATATGGTAAAGAGAGAATCAAGGTAGATGAAAGTGCATCGTATATATGGTTCAATCTTAGTACTTATATGTATATGAGGAAAAGGTAGCGTGAGGAGGAGTATGGTGGTTATACATGTCTTCTATGTATTTATATAGGAAGTAACTCTTGATGTAATCGTGGACTTTGATTTTGTGATAATACAAGTTGTACTTTGTTCAAAAAATAATCTCTTATTTGTGTCTCAATTATGTCAAACTAATCGAGTTTCGGTTAAATTTTTCTCTGATTATTTTTTTTGTTAAGGATGTGCCTACGGGGACGCCTCTACTTCGTGGAGCATTAAAAAAATAATCTTTATTATTTTCCTTGTCAGTCTGAGCCATGCGTGAACAATGGATCCGTTACGGTCTCCTCTGTGGCCGATTTTCATCATCGTTTGGGTCATCCCAACAATAAAATATTACGTACCATTCTTTGTCATTGTTCGTCTTTCTCGAATTTTACCAATGTTTCTCAATTATCTTCTTCCTCTTTTAATATTAATAAAAGTCATAAGTTACCATTTTCTATTTATTTTTTGACCAGTAGTAAGCTTTTGATCTTAGTTATACTGATGTTTGGAGCACTACTCAATGTTTCTTGGATGGCTAAAACTATTATGTCATTTTTGTCGACCACTACACAAAATTTATATGGTGGTATCCTTTGGTCCTAAGTCAGATGTGTTTTCTATTTTTCCGCAATTAAAATGATTGGTGGAAACTTAGTTTCAACGCGCCATTAAAAGTATTTTCTCTGATAATGGTGGTGAGTTTCTTAAGCTGGTTCCCATGTTCAACTCTGATCTCATGGTATTTCTCATTTAACTACTCCACCACATACTCCTGAACATAGTGGTATGGCAGAGCGTTGTCATCGTCATATTGTTTAGACTGGTATGTCGCTATTGCATACCGCTGGTCTCCCATTGACGTACTGGTCCAAGTCATTTCATACTGCAATTGTTGGAATTTTTGGCATTTCTAATAGGCATTAAATGGACCAACTTGAGTATATTTATCAATAGGTCCACTAACGGTTTTAACCGTTAATTAATGGACGTGTGTTCTCTTAAATAAGATAAATGTTTTGATAATTTATACGCAAAATGGTAGAGGGTGAATCAGAAATTGATTCTCAGACTTAACCCGTTAATATAAGAATATGGTAAGGATTGCAAATTTTGCAATTTTACTGAACCAATCTTCTATTATTAATAGTGTATAAGTTACATTTTTTAAAATAGCTTGGTTATAAAAATCAAAGTGGCTCTCCATTGTTTTGTGTGTTGTTTCATACGTGAGGAAGAGAAAAAAAAAGAAAGGGAAAATACTTTCTTGTTTTTTCAGAGAGAGAGAGCTCTTGATTTTCTGGCCAACTTTCCGGCAATCCCCTTCAAAGTTTTTTTGGTCGCCAACGTTCCTACGTTGTTCTTGTTCGTTGGTGTGTGGTTAGTCCGTACAATCTCCACACACGATAGCGGTTTTATCCTGGGAGGAGAGTGCCCATGTTTTTCCGGTACGGTAGGCAGGCACTACTACCTTAAGGGCAGCTCAGGCGACTCCGCTGTCCTTCCACGGTGTTTGATTTACAGGTTTAGTTTATAAAGACCTCGCTGCATTCTGCCCTAGGACATAATGTCCTTGCTGTCCAGTGCATAATGTCCCCGTAGCCCAATGCATAACGTCCTCGCTGTCCAGTGCATAATGTCCTCGCTGTCCAGTGCTTAATGTCCTCATACAACAAGGCTTTTTGAAGATATAGAAATTTATTTTCGATTCTATTTATCTTGTAATATTCTGAATAAGTTATAAATTCAAAATTTTATTTGTTTTTATTTTCCGGGGCGTCCATCTTCCATGTCCGTTGTAATCCGTACAAAAATTGTAACAATATTAAGGTAGTAGTCATATGCGTGCACGATGACAGGTATGGACGGATTCGGTTTTGACGCTCACACCGGAAATGGGAGTAGTTCTGAGACTTTGGTTGTGAACCTTCCGGCTGGATTGGGTGGCTTTGTTGGGCAGACCACTCCGATCAACATTCCTTTTGGATCGAGTGCAGCCGTGGGGTCCACTCCGATCATCACCTTCGTTGGATCCTGTGCGACTATAGGGTCCACTCCGGTCACCTCGGTTAATGGACCAACCGCGGCTACGATCGCAATGGTCACCCCACTTGGACTGAATATGGCTTCGGCCATACCGATCATTCCCTCACTTGAACCGAACACAGGTGTCTTCACATCCGCACCGGTCAGACATCCTACTGTCATGCTGCCTGCAAACTCTGTCAAAGAACCGGCAAAGTTCACGGGGGTTGGCTTTAAAATATGGCAGCAAAGGATGTTATTTTGGCTGACCACCCTCAACCTTGCGAGGTACTTGAGGGAGGATCCCCCTATTGTGGGGGAGAACGCGGACGAGCCAACAATTCAGGCTAAGGAGGCATGGATAGCGAATAACTATACGTGCCTTAACCTTATCTTGAATTTCTTGAGCGATGCCTTATATGTTGTTTATAGTAGGGCTGCATCCGCAAAGGAGTTATGGACTACACTATCCAACAAATACCAGGCCAAGGACCTCGGTGCGAAGAAATTCGTTGTCGGTAAGGTTTTGGATTTTAAGATGGTGGATTCCAAACCCGTTGTCAATCAAGCTGAAGAATTGATCCTCATTTTGAATGATTGCACTGACGAGGGAATGGGAGTTAGTGAGGCATTCCAAGTGGCAACCATTATTCATGTGCTCCCGCCGGCTTGGGATGAGTTCCGGAGCTGTCTCAAGCTCAAACGGAAAGATATGACTTTAGAACAGTTGCTTGTTCGTCTCTGAATCCGTGAAGAGGGTCTCACTCGTGAGAAGAAAGTAGCTATTGCTAAGGTCAATGTGGTGGAGCATCCACCCAAAGAGGGTTCTTCCAAAGGGCCCAAGCCAAATAAGGACAAGAAGAAAATTGGTCCTAAAGAAGGCGTCGCGAAGACTAAGTTCGCGGGGAAATGTTACAACTATGGCATTACGGGCCACCGTTCTTTAGAGTGCCGCAAGAAGCCTCATAAGAAGAAGTAGAAAAAGGAAGAAGCCCTCTGCTCGGAGCTAGATGCTATGGATCTTTGTGCGGCCGTGACAGAGGTCAACCTGGTCAGGTCTAACTCGAAAAAGTGGTGGGTTGACACCGGAGCCACTCATCATATCTGCTCCAATCGGGCCATGCTCTTTGACATTAAGGAGACTTCTGGCGACAAGGTGTGGATGGGCACCTCTACCTAATTTGAGGTTCAAGGCGTGGGCAAAGTGAAGCTCAAGATGACATCCGGCATGGAGCTCACGCTGAATGATGTGTTGTATGTGCCAGACATACGGAAAAACTTGGTGTCAAGCTCACTACTGAACAAACATGGATTCCGCATGGTGTTCGAGTCTGATAAGCTAATCTTGAGCAAAAAGGGAATGTTCATAGGCAAAGGTTATATTTCTGATGGGCTTTTTAAGCTTAATGTACTCACTGTTGTTGAGAAAATTAATAAAACTCTTGTTGCCTATGTTTGTGAGTCTTCCAATCTGTGGCATGGAAGACTAGGACATGTTAATTACGCATCTCTTCAAAAATTAATTAACATGGAATATATCCCTAAGTGTGACATCGACCTGTCCCACAAATGTGAGACGTGTGTCGAAGCAAAGTCAACAGGAAGTTCGTTTCGAACAATTGAATGAACCACTCAGCCACTAGATTTAATTCACACGGATTTGTGTGATTTCAAAGCAACGCCTTCAAGAGGTGGTAGCAAATATGTTATCACTTTTGTCGATGATAGCACAAAGTACTGTTATATTTATTTACTTAAAAGTAAAGATGAGGCATTGGAAACTTTCGTTCGGTATAAAAATGAAGTAGAAAATCAACTCAATTGTAAAATTAAAGCGATTAGGAGTGATAGGGGCGGGGAGTATGAAGCTCCATTCGCCGAATTGTGTGCACAACATGGAAGTGTGCATCAAGTAACTCCGCCATACACACCCTAATCAAACGGTGTGGCGGAACGTAAAAATCGCACTCTCAAAGATATGATGAATGCGATGTTGCTCAGTTTCGGGCTACCCCAAAATATGTGGAGGAAGGATATTTTATCTAGCAATTATTTGTTAAATAAAATACCCTAAAAGAAACTCGATAAGACTCCTTACGAGTTGTGGTATAATAGGAAACCTTCCTATAAATACCTGAAAGTGTGGGGGTGCCTTGCAAAAGTTTTAGCACCACCACCAAAGAAAATAAATATTGGTCCAAAGACCATTGATGGAATCTTTATTGGCTACAGTGGTAGCGCGTATCGATTCTTAGTGTATAGGTCTAATAATCCTGAAATACATACGAACATGATGAAATGTTGAACGATGGTTCCTCGGATCAGTCTAATACCAGTATAATTGATGAAACCAAAACTGAGACTGAACTAAGACGAAGTAAAAGGACACGGACTAATAAGCCATTTAGTAATGATTTTCTAACTTATATGTTGGAATTTGAATCGGGGACTGTATGATTTCTCATAGAGACCGAACCCAATATTCTAACATGTTTATTAGAAAATGAACCACGAACTTATCGTGAAGCAGTGACTTCGTCTAAAGGCCCTCAGTGGAAAGAGGCAATTAAAAGTGAAGTTGATTCTATTATGCAGAATCACACTTGGGAGTTAGTGAATCTACCTCCTGGATGCAAATCGTTAGGTTCTAAGTGGATCTTTTGGAGGAAAATGAAAGCAGATGGTTCCATTGATAAGTACAAAGTCAGACTTGTAATTGATGGTTACAATCAACGTGAGGGCTTTGATTATTTTGACACATTTGCCCCTGTGTCAAGGATAAATTCCATTAGGATGATACTTGCAATAGCTTCCTTGCAGAACTTAGAAGTTCATCAAATGGATGTGAAAACAGCTTTCCTTAATGGGGATCTAGAAGAAGAGATCTACATGGAACAACCAGAAGGGTTTATAGTTCCTGGTCAAGAAAGGAAAGTATGTAAACTTGTTAAGTCATTATATGATCTTAAAAAGGCACCAAAAGTATGGCATGAGAAGTTTGACTAGGTAATGATGAACTCTGGGTTAAATATTAATGAATCAGACTAGTGTGTTTATCTAAAAGACACATCCCAAGGGTATGTCATGTTGTGTCTATATGTAGACGACATACTCATAGTTGGTGGCGATGACAAGATGGTCAAGTCTACCAAAGACATGTTAAACTCGCGATTTGACATGAAATATATGGGTCAGGCTAAAGTAATTCTTGGAATTAAAATTGTGAGTAGACCTGGGGGTCTAGCACTGAGCCAATCCCATTATATTGATAAAATCCTTGCCCAGATTTCGCTTGTGCCATATAAGTAAGCTGAGTAAATACACCAGCAATCTAAGTGATGAGCACTGGAAGGCTATTGTACGTGTGATGAGATGCCTGCGGTATACACGTGACTATGGATTATGCTACTTGAGATATCCACTGGTACTGGAAGGGTACACGGATGCGAATTGGATATGTGATAGTTAAGACTTGAAGTCCATAAGTGGATATGTCTTTACGCTAGCGGGTGCAGCAATATCTTGGAAATCCTCAAAGGAAACAATGATTTCTAGGTCCACCATAGAATCAGAGTTTATAGCTTTAGACAAATGTGGTGAGGAAGCTGAATGGCTACGCCACTTTCTAGAGGACATTCCAAGATGGGATAAACCGGTCGCACCATTTTGCATCTATTGTGATTGTCAATCGGCAATAGGACGTGCAAAGAGTAACATGTATAATGGTAAGTCTAGACATATTCGTCGTAGAAACAAAATCATTTGATAACTTCTCACAACTGGGATAATCACAATTGACTATGTGAAGTCAAAAGATAATCTGGCGGATCTGCTAACCAAGAGGTAAACAAATGAGGTTGGCGGCAGGAATGGATTTGAAGCCCTTCTGCTAGGACAATCCTATGAAGGAAAACCCAACCTGGCTAGTACCCAGGTTCAATGAGACAACCTACTAATAGGATGAAGCGTGGTCACTGTGGGGGAGGTACCGGAACCTCCGGTTAGTTCCTTCTGTTCCTGCTGAAGACAGTGACTCCCGAAAATGATGAGGTTATCATATAAATATGCTTTAATGATTCTTAAACAATAGACATGGTGGTCTAAGTAGAGTAATCGGGATACTCTCAAAGAATCACCTATGTAAGAGTGAAGTGTGGTCGCTTCAAACAGAGGATCTTGGGCTTAATCCTCTAAACGCTCTTGCAGAACCAGGCGCATGTCCCACGACCAAAATGTGCACAACCAAAAGAACAGAATGACGTTTGGTTGGAATCTGTGTATGGTATACTATCGTTTACACAAACGGCAGTATAGTTCAAAGACATCGCATTCTACTGAACAGCCAGTAAACACTACAAGAATTTGTCTGGTCTGCAACGGAAATCTGCTACGGACTTATTTTTGTAGCAAATCTGCAACGAACCAGCGACGGAAGTGTAGTTCTTTAAAAATAAGCGTAATCTGCGACGGATTCTATTTGTCCGTCGCAAATCTGCGACGGAGTATTTTTGCCCGTCGCAAATATAAGTTGGTCAAATTTTGACCTGATAATCTGCGATGGACCCTTACATTCGTCGCAGATCTGTTGCAGGTATAAACTTAAAAACGAGAGTGAAATTTTCCCAGCCATTCGTCCTTCAGTTCAACCTTATCTCTCTCCCCCTCCGCCGTCCTGCGAACGCCACCCCTCCGCCAGCCTTCAACGCATGTGCTCGCCGCCGTTGAACATCCTCGCCAGCCACGCCTGACCCTCCAGCCACGCCGTCTCGCCCAGCTGCGCCAGCCACGCCGTCCTCCCCAGCGGCGCCGTCCTCCCCAGCCGCGCCAGCGGCGCCGTCCACCAGCCGTCACCACCCCTCATTGACGCCGCTAGTACTCCCCCGCCAGCCGTCTCTCTTCCCCCGCCGGAACTCCTCTTCCTCTTTGCCGTGAAGGTATTTTTGTTTAATTTAATTTTTGGTGAAATTGAATTTCTTTGTGTGAAATTGAATGCATTATTGGTGAAATTTACTTAAAATTGTGTGAATATGAGATGAAATTGACATGAAATTGGGTAAAAATTGCACTACTTTTTGGTAAAATTGATGGCCTTTAAGGTGTAATTTTAGTTAAAATTGTGTTAGTAAATTTGACGTTTATTGTGAGTTTAGGTAAAATTTAGTTCAATTTTGTGAAATTGAGTGCATTATATTGGCTGAGGAAAGCTTTTCTCAGGAAAGCGGCTGAACGGTACGCGAGTTATACGTACAATCAAAGGAACCCAACTCGATTGAAGAAGAAGAAGATGGACCCTCGGCCACTTGAGCAGTTGAAAAAGGTAAATTAGTAACGGTTTTCCTACAAATTTGTATCAACTTCTGTTTGTAGCATAGCCATTTTGAATTTCATTATGATCAATTTCTGTTTGGGGCATATGCGTACAAATTGCTATGTACAAGTAATGTTTATGAAATATACAACTATAGGTTTGGGAAATGGATCCGGAGTTTCTGGAGTTGAGTAAGACGAAGAAGAAGAACAGAAGAAAGGGAAAAGAGGATGGTCCTGCTCTTGGGACTTATTGTGGAGGTTCAATTCCATTTTCTAAAAATATGAATAGATTGGTAAGATATATTTTATAAAATAATAGCTTTGCACTTGTTTTTCAGTGGACACTAAATTTAAAATGTAATGGAAATGTTCATTGAAACTTGAAGTCTAAGAAGAAAGGGGTGCCTGTGCTGTTGGATGAGGTTATCATCCACACAAAGACAAAGAAGCACGATGCAAGACTTGGGTGGATCCGGGACATGCTGAGCTACAGGTACTTTCCACAATTTGCAAAATAGTTTGGGTTCATGCTCATAATGTTGGTGTTTTTGTCTTAAAACTTCTAAAGGGTGATAATGTAGTCGCTTTCTTGTGTAATTGATTTGTTTTGGTTGACGTTATTCTTACTGTTTATGTTATTGTTAATTGTGTTGTTATTATTGTTGTTACATTGATGGTGTTGTTGTTGACATATGAAACTATTTTTGTTGCTGCGTTGATGGTGTTGTTGTTGTAGGGTTGACACTACTTTTGTTGTTGCGTTGATGGTGCTGTCATCACTAGCTAGATGTTACCTTTCTTATCGATCCATGATAATTAATGTTGTTAAGTTCTTGTGTTGTTGTTGTTCTTGTTGTTGTCATATGACACTGTTTTTGTTGTTGCGTTGATGGTGTTGTTGTTGTCATATGACATTGCTCTTGTGTTGTTGTTGATGTTGTTCATGTTGTTATTGCTGTTCTTGACGCTATTATTGTTACGTTGTTATTGTGTGTTATTAACTATCACATATTGCAGGCCCAATTCTTCGAACTGCGCGAGGAGGCTAGACAAAATGGGCTTAAAGTCACCGACGAAGAAATATGGTACTCGCTAGTCAAGGGCCATAACGCAAAGAACCGCGTTCCTAGAGTTGGTGACTACGCGCGGGAAGTGAAGAAGATCAATCCGTCCTCCAAACCTCGCCGTTCCAGCACTAGTAGCAGCAGCGCGGCGGAGATGGCAGCACTTAAAGAGCAAAACCAAAGGCTGCAGGAACAAATTGATAATCTAACCTCAAGCTTGTCGCTGACGATTCAGGAGGAGATAAGGAAGTTATATGGTGGTAATCCTCCTCCACGAGGCGATGATGATAGAATGGGAGGGGCAGGACAGCCTAGGATTTGTTGACACCTTTGACATTTGACACAAACACTTTAATATTTAGTGTTTTTACAATATTATGAATTATGTTACATTTGCACGTGAAGTTTTAATTAATCTCGTTTTGAATTATCTATTTCGTATTGAAATCTTGTTTAGAATTATGCGTGTGAAAGTTGAATGTGTGTTTCCCCCCATTTTAGTAGCTACTGCCTAAAAACAGAAAATACTGGTGCTGTGATCAGGTTGTCTGCGACGGAAAAGGCCATTGTTGCGTATGTTGCAGATCTGCGACGGATCACCCATCGCTATTTCCGTCGCAGATCTGCGACGGATTAAGGACTTTTGTCGCAGATTTTTGGGGTGCAAAAAACGGACAAACCCATTGTAGGTCCGTCGCAGATCTGCCACGGACTTTCAATTCCGTCGCAGATTGAAAATCTACCACAACTTTTCTGCGAACGGAATATGTTCGTTGCAGGTCCGTCGCAGAATGTAAATCTGCCACGGAATTTCAAATTCTGCAACAGAAATTGTCCGTGGCATATTGACAGTTTTCTTGTAGTGAAAGAAGGTCTACTTTACAAGGGACATGTTCAAAAGTGGAGATACTTACCTATTCTTTGCAGGTTTTCAACCGTGGGATGTTGTCGACCCCCAAAACAATTTTCATTCATGTGGGGGATTGTTGGAATTTTTGGCATTTTTAATAGGCATTAAATGGACCAACTTGAGTATATTTGTCAATAGGTCCACTAACGGTTTTAACCGTTAATTAATGGACGTGTGTTCTCTTAAATGAAATAAATGTTTGAATAATTTATACACCGAAAATGGTAGAGGGTGAATGAAAAATTGATTCTCAGAGTTAACCCGTTAATAGAAGAATATGGTTAGGATTGCAATTTTACTCAACCAATCTTCTATTATTAATTTTACGTGTTGTTTAAAATTAGTCCATTTTTACGGAGTTAACTGGCCATTAATCTCCAATTATTCGAGACAAATTTTAAACGGAGCGTAGCGTAACGGACGTGTTAATGGCTAATTAATCACCATTAACATGCCATTAGTGTGCCACAAATGCCATGGATTTAATAGTGTATAGGTTACATTTTTTAAAATAGCTTGGTTATAAAAATCAAAGTGACTCTCCATTGTTTTGTGTGTTGTTTCATACGTGAGGAAGAGAAAAAAAGAAAGGGAAAATACTTGTTTTTTAGAGAGAGAGCTCTTGATTTTCTGGCCAACTTTCTGGTAATCTCCTTCAAAGTTTTTTGGGTCACCAACGTTCCTACGTTTTTCTTGTTCCTTGGTGTGCGGTTGATCCGTACAATTCCCACACACGATAGCGGTTTTATCTTGGGAGGAGAGTGCCCACGTTTTTCAGGTACATTAGGCGGGCACTGCTACCTTAAGGACAACTCCGGCGACTCTGCAGTCCTTCCACGGTGTTTTATTTGCAGGTTCAGTTCAAAAAGACCTCGCTGCATTCTTCCCTAGGACATAATGTCCTTGCTGTCCAGTGCATAATGTCCTCGCAACCCAGTGCATAACGTCCTCGTTGTCCAGTGCATAATGTCTTCGCTGTCCAGTGCTTAATGTCCTCATACAACAAGGCTTTTTGAAAAAATAGAAATTTATTTTCGATTGTGTTTATCTTGTAGTATTCTGAATAAGTTATAAATTCAGAATTTTATTTATTTTTATTTTCCGGGGCCGTTCATCTTCCACGTGCGTTGTAATTCGTATAAAAATTGTAACATCAGTTTATCTCATCAACCGTTTACCCACTCCGATTTTCTCCAAAAAGTCCCCTCGTGAAGTCCTTCTTTGTCGTTCCCAAGACGCAAATTAAAACCGTTTGGGTGCTTGTGTTATCCTTGGTTACGTCCCTATCATACCACCAAGCTATCTCCTCGTTCTACCTCGTGTCTATTTCTTGGTTATAATACCTCTCAATCTGCGTATAAATGCTATGATTATGCGTTTGGGAAGGTTTATCTCTCCCGTTATGTAAAGTTTGAGCGACATATTTTTCCTTTTTCTACTGTACCCCCTGTATGCAACCCACTCCCTCTTCTTCCGTTCCACTCCCAGTTCTTCTTCCCTCTCGTCCATCACCTTCCTCGTTCTCTCTCTATCTCTCACTCCTCTTCTCCTTTTCCCATGCCTGCTCCTCCCTTCGAGGCTCCACACCCCTAGCTCATAACATTCCATACAGTTCCTCAATCATCTACCTCTCATATTCTTGCATTGCTTCTTTGGTTTAACCTTCTCTCCCAAACCCTTCCGCCGTTCCTCCCTTACAGCTCCCATCCCGTGACCTCTCTCCCTAATTTTGTGTTACCGTCGAGTCTTCCCCCTTCTCGCCCAGTCCGTGAGCGACAGCTCAATGCTCATTACTTCAACGATCATCTTTTTAATCATACTTCTATGGTTGTGCAGGCTCTAGTAACATATTTGCAAGCGCGGAAGGACACTAATTGGCGGGCAGCTATGGATGATGAGCACTCGGCTGTGTTCTGAAACCACACTTGGGACCTTGTACCTTGACTGTCTCGATGGCCCATTCAGTATAAATGGGTGTTTCTTGTGAAACCAAAACCGGATGGTAGTATTGACTGGTACAAGGCACGTTTGGTGGCTAAAGCTTTCCTTCAACTAGCAGGCCATGACTATTCTAAGATGTTAAGCTCAGTTACTAAGTCTATGACAATTTGGCTTATTATTAATCTTGCCTTGCGTTTTAGCTTGCCCCTTCGACAACTTGACGTCAACAATAATGCTTTTTTGAATGGTACGCTCCATGAAGAGGTGTATATGGAGCAACCTTCTGGTTACAAAGATGCAGTGCATCCTGACTATGTTTGTAAACTTTGTAAGGCTCTTTATGACTTCAAGCAAGCTCCACGCGCTTGGTATTTGGAGTTGGCAGGCTTTCTACTAGGGTATGGATTTCGGAAGTCTTGCACTAATGCCTAACTTTTCATCTATGCCAAGGGACCTGTTCGTCTCTACTTTCTGGGTTCCTTGCAATATTTAGCCCTTACCCGCCCTAATGTCTTCTTTGCGGTGAATAAATTGTCTTAATATATGCATGCTCTTGCACTCAATCATTGGCAGGTGGCCAAGCGTGTGCTTTGGTATCTCAGTGGTACTCTCTCTCATGGGCTTTTCTTACGTGCTAATGCGCCATTGCAACTCACTGTCTTCTCGGACTCTGATTGGGGGGCATCCATGATGGTGGTAAGTCTACTACGGCTTATGTTGTTTACATTGGGTCTAATTCAGTCTCTTGGAAATCTGTTTGTCACAAGACTGTGTCTCGATCTTCCACCGAGGCTGAGTACCGGGCGCTTGCCCATACTGCTCAGACACTTTGGCTACAAAATCTTTTGTGTGATCTTGGTGTGCATGTTCCACGTGCACCGGTTCTCTTTTGCGATAATCTTGGAGTGACTTATGTTTGTGGCAATCATGTTTTTCACTCTCATGTGAAGCACTTGGCCTTATATTACTTCTTTGTTCGTGATCTCGTCGATCGTTGCAAATCATATGCACGTTCGCCACATCTCTTCCTCTGAGCAACCGGTAGACCTTCTTACCAAGCCGCTTTGCACTTCCTTGTTCACGAAGTTTCAGTCCAAGATTGGTGTCTCCGATGGATCCTCCATCTTGCGGGGTTTTTAAACATTTGAATAGTTGTAGCCTTATTCCATGTATATAGCACTTGACTTCTTCCTCTCCACAGGTATAGACTTGGCTCTCCTTAGTATGTAGCTTTGTTTAGTTAGTCTCCTCATGTATAAATAGTTGTCATGTACGCAGCATCAATTATCAATGCTATTCATCAGTGTTTCATTCTCCATAGATGGAACATGGATGAGTAGTTATATTTTTTCCTTGTATTTTTTTTCTTGTTGTTTTTTTTCCGCTATCCTTTTTTATATCGTTACACTTTTATTTTTCACGTATTTCCGTTGTTTTTCCATTATTATATTAAAAAAATTCCGTTGTTCGAATTTATATGTTTAAAAAACATTATCTACAAAACCAATAAAAAACAAAAAAACAAACAAAAAAATTGGTAAAGCCCCGTCAAGCCTCTGCCACAACACCCCTTCATGTGATGGGGCTTGATGGGAGGGTACCGGCCACCACATGGCCGCTATGTGGCAGTGGTAAAGCCTCTCCACCATGTGATGATAACACATGGCCTTACGGTAGCCCTACCTCTGTTATCGCGAACTGATGGAACAAGCCAGAGGGTAGGAGAAACGCAGGCAGTTGGGAGGGAAAGAAAACCGTAGGAAGAGGAGAGGAAAGGCAAGGAGGGAGATAAGAATTAAGATATAGAAAGTAGGATATTATTATTTTCGTACCCAACCTAGGAGCAAGTCCTCTACTTATAGCTACAAAACCTAACCAACTAGATTATTTATTTTGAGGGTTCAAGAAAAAACGACGAGTTAAAGAATTGTAAAGAAACTCTCGAAGGAGTGTTATAAAACCACTCAAAAAGAAAACCAAAATAATTAATATAAATACAACAATAATATTAAACAAAGTCGTGGCTTGAGCATACGACCTGAACGTCGTGGCTGTACTGGTTGGGCCTCTTCCTTAGATTGAGCAGCGGCGTCCCCCTCTTCTTCCGTCATGGCAGCCGTATCACGAGCTGACAATTTCAAAACCAGAATCGTATCAGATAGGTGTAATGATACACTTTCTAGAGTTTTACTTTGTTCCACTTTTTTTTTTTGTTTTTTCTTTCTTATTGACTTCTTAAAACTATGCTGCGGCCCCAATTTTCAAAAGGATTGATGGGCTATATAGGGATGACACGCTTGAATGATGATGATGATGATAAAGTTTCTGAACTAAATTACCTGTTATTGTTATATAAATATAAATTTAATATAATTAGACTAATTTTAAAATGTTGTCATGATAGATTACAATCGTCTCAAAATGAATTTCCATATTCGAACGATATGACGTGTCGTAAAATCTAGTAATTTTAAAAATGATGTTACAAATTGGTATAGAAATAAATGATAAAACTTGTATATTTAAAAACTAATCACAAGTTCTACAAAACAGGATGTGAAAATAATATTACTCCATCCGTCTTAAAATGTTCTTCCCAGTTAATTGCTATATACACGATAAAATTTTAATCACTTTCTTTACCTATTTTCGTTAGTTAATTGATAAAATAATATAGTCATGCCACCTCTTGATTTGTAG